AATGTAGCCTAAGACGTGTTTAGAGCAGAAGGGGGTAATGCAGCGATTTGTTGTGCCGAAATGGTGATTCATGCGACATAAATATGACGTTTCGACACCCGTGATACAATCCCCTTCTCGTGCACCGCCACCTAGGAACGTAAATTACAACTACCAGTAAGATTATGTACGCTAGGTGGACCAAACTTGATAGACTTTCACTGCCACGTTGTTTGCCTGGACCGCACAAGGCATGAGGCATGCAAGTTACTGATTTCAGCGTAAGCTAGTGCTTTATGTTGCTTCGTTGAATGAACAACTTATATTCCGCCGAACTATTCATGTGCCAGAGACATCAACTTTTGTTTTGGATGATGTTTATCGTTTCGCGTTAGTTTGTGGCTGGACAATGCCTAAGCATTTATATCAAACATTAAGATATTTGAAACAGCGTGCGAATCATTCGAACTCCTCTCATACTTGTGTGGCAGGGCAACCAGTACGGAGCGGTCGTGGCCGAGTGTTAAGGCGTCTGACTAGAATCAGATTCCCTCTGGGAGCGTAGGTTCGAGTCCATACCGACCGCGGGAACATTTCACCTTGGGCTTGATTTTGCCACGCAAGCAAGAAAGCAACTGTTACTGCCAGGACAATCCCCCTGCTCCACGTGTGACACGCCCAATCTTCATCACATTTTTTACTGCATCCCTCGCGGCGCGTCATGACGCTGGGCGTGGTCCTCAGCCGTCAGGCTCCGGAAGCTGACGCGACTCTCCGAATTCCCGGAGCGGGACGCCCAGTCATGCCGGCTGTCCCGACACGGGACGCCCAATCGGACGGGATGTCCAACACGGGACACCCATTCAGACCGGGTTTCACGATTAGCAGCTAGAAATACCGCTCAGCAAACCCGTTCCTGATGTCGTTCACGTTTTCTTTTGGGGAGGGAAGGGGGGGGGAGGGCATTTGGTCAGCACAGGCAATTACGGCGGCTCACCACCTGCATATCGAGGCTCAACCCGTACCCTCTTGCGACAACTTCAGAAATGAACCGACTCCAGTCATTTCAAACAGCTCATCAGCTCACAGGATTCAGTTGAATCGGAAGCCATCATGGGCAGCGTAGTGAACCCTCAGCCCTACCTCAGCCACGCGACACCATGCGCCCATTGCGCCGGTACCCCCCCCCCCCCCCCGTTCGGTGTACATCTGCTGGGGTATCCAAACATCTCGTTACTTCCACACACTCTTCGTCACTCCGGCTGATCTGTTGATGTGCCCAAACCGTGGATCTAACAGTAACCAGCTGCCAGCATAACACAACAATAACATAACAGGCGCAAAGGTAGTTTTATCAACAAGCTCCAACCCACTCAACAAAAGGTAAATTCCAAAACACCTTCCTACGGCCTCGTAGCGCCCGCTCGTTCCTCCGACCGTAACGTGCAACAATGACGTCACGGCTTCGACCCAGCGGGCCGGAAGGCCATATCACATTCGGTCCAGGTCTCGGAGAATCAAGTTCGGACATGTGTGACGGGGCACGCGATGACTCAACGCCCACACACAAATGACGTCACACACGAGGACTGATGACGTCACCAGACGCCGCCCGTTCCGCGAATCGGTAACACGTCACCAGTAACAACATCACGGTCGCCACACGCGCCGCCATGCTGGTCTGCGGCGCGGCCGGCCAGCCGGTCCCGGCCCCGACCCCACCCACGTGACTGTCGCGGCCGTCTACCGGTGACGTCATACCAGCCCGTCGTTGGCCAGCTGGTCGGCCAGCTTCTGCTTGCCGGTCGCGCCGCTTCGCCGTGCGCTCGACGCACTGGTCGTAGACTCGGCGAAGGCCTGCCGCAGGCACGGGTACAGCAGCGGCCAGCCGCGGCAGGTGCCGGTAGTCCACCTGGGTCGGCCACCGCGCGCTGGCGTCAGTATGACGTCACAGGCCAGGACAACGCACGGGGCGGGACTCCAGCCGACAAGGAGAGCGTCCGTGTTGGTTTGCTCCGAATAACCAAACCGCCACGGAGGGCCCGTCGGATGCCTGGGCCCTGGCCGGAGTCAGCCGCGTCCAGCGGCGGACGCTGCGCACCACACACGCGACAACAGTCCACCCTGCTTGATCCCCCGCCCCACGATCCGACCCGTCACGCTTCCCGCCCGACCACGCCCTCCCGACCTAAACCTGACCGTCCCCCTGGCCCGGCCTGGGCCGTCCCCGGCTGGTGCCCGCTCTCGCTCGGTGCCGTCACTGACCACCATGTTGTCGTAGGCGACGCCGACGTTCTCGGGCGCCGGCTCCGGCAGCAGCGGCAGGTTCGAGTAGCGCTGGCTGAAGTGCGTCATCAGCACGTGACGGGCGGCCATGTCGCGGCCACGCCTGCCGAGCCAGAGGCTGAGTCAGCAGGGCCGGGAGCGGGGCCCGCCGCGGTCCAGTGTGCCAGAGGCGGAGGTCAGCGGCGCCGAGGGGGGGGGGGGGTGCCGTTCAGTGTGCCAGAGGCAGAGTCAGCGGCGCCATAGACGGGGGGACTATGGAGAGGTGGACGGCGGAGCGCCTCCCGACTGAGACGGCGTAGGTCGGCGGCGGCGCGGCTCCCGTGCGCGCGCTGGCGCCGGCCGGCGGCACACCGAGACCCGGCGCGGCGCAGGAGCTCACCTATCGCCTCCGACGTGGTGGAGTGGGCGCGCAGCTCCGCCTCTTCCTGCAGCTCATCCTCGTGCGTGGCCTCGTGGATCAGCAGGGGTCGCAGTTCTGACCTGAGTGGCGACAGGCGCCCGGTGTCAGTCACACGACCTCGACCCCGGGCCAACCCGCCGGCAAGATCACACCAGCCTGGTTTGGGGTTGGCAGAGGGCACGGGCCGGGGCCCATTCCTGGGGTCGATTCCCGCATCGACAACCTTGGCCTGGAGTTCAGCCTTCGTCTTAGATCTACCGATGACCCGGACCGGCAGAGCACAGACCCAACCCGTCAAGCAAGAGCGACAGTCAGCGCAAAACCAGCCGACACCAACCAACTACGGCCAGCTCTTGAAGGCGCGGTGGATCAACACCAACCAACTGCGGCCAGCTCTCGACAGCGCGTTGGGAGACAGCGCGCGACTGACCGAGCGCCACCAGCTCCGGGCAGGGCCGCGTGTCGCCCGAGTAGACGACGCTGGGCCCGCCGGCGCGGCCCAGACGCACGCCGTACGCCAGCGGGCAGTGGCGCACCGGGCAGGTGACCAGCTCGTCCAGGCCGGCCGCCGCCAGCCGCTCCTGCAGCCAGGCGGGGCGCGGCGAGCTGGACAGCTGCAGGCGCGCGTTGGCCACCAGCGAGAACGTGTCTGGCGGCAGGGCAGAGCAGGTCAGAGGAAGCGGCGCGGGCCTCAGAGGGAAGCAGTGGGGGAGGGGAGCACCGAAAGTGAGGGGCAAGGGGGAGAGGGGGCGGAGCACTGCGGCAAACAAGAAGAGTCATCGCGGAGCACGTCCAGCGGATCGTCCGATGCGCGAGGGACCGGCAAGCAAGAGTCACACAACAGGCTCGGCTACTGCGCCGTCGGCCCGAGAAACACCAGCCGCAGCCTGTCCAGACCCACGGGGCAGCGACCGGCCCGACTCCTCAGTCCGCGCGGCAGCAGCGTCCCGCGAGCCCCAGCATCCGACTACATACGGCCGTCCGAGCTCACGGGGCGTCCCCACGGCCGCAGCGGCGGACCGGGCGCCACTGACCGAGCAGCGGGGCCATCTTGTTGTGGTACATGGTGAGGTAGCCGGCGATGGGGCCCGGCGCCAGCAGCAGGCACGGCCGGTGCTCGGCGCCCAGCGCCCGTCGGCGCGCCTCCAGAATGCTGATCAGACCTGCAGCACGGCGCGGTTGCTGGTAAGACTGGCGGGCTGAACGCTTGCTGGTAAGACCGGCGCACTGTAGGCTGGCTGGTCAGACCGGCGCACTGTACGCTCGCTGATCAGGGCAGCGGACTACACTCGCCGGTCAGACCGGCGCACTGTACGCTCGCTGGTCAGACCGGCGGACTGCACACTTACTGGTCAGACCGGCGCACTGCACGCTCGCTGGTCAGACCGACGACCTGTACTCAAATCAATTCTGCGCAAAAATACGGCGAGCTGTTTTACGCGGGCAATCCAGAATCCGCAGGTGACTAAGAGAGCTGCCGGCCTTTGCAGATGTGGAGCACGGTACGGTCGGCGGACGTTCGTCCCTGTTACCGCGAGCCAACGGTAGAGGGGGGGGAGGGGTCATGACTCACGCTGAGTCAATGGGGGTCGGCCTCTGCGGCATGTGGGCTGTTACACTCGGTCTCTAGCCGTGGCTCGGAGTTTGTCTCAGCTACACTCGGTCTCGAGCCGTGGTCTCAGAGTTGTCTCTCAGCTACACTCAATCGGGCGCACAGAATCCATCGAGTTCCCCGTCCGTCACACTCGACCCCACACCCAAGTCCAGCGCCGTCACCAGTCCGCGGGGTCAGGTCAGGTCAGGTCAGGGTCGGCCGGCCCGTACCGATGTGGTGATCGGCGTGCAGGTGCGATATGTAGACGGCGCCGAGCCGACGGAGGACGGCGGCCGCCCGCTGCTGTCCCAGCAGCCGCACCAGCTGGCCGTGCGTGCCCTCGCCGCAGTCCAGCAGCACGGAGTGCTCCTCACTGCCGGGGACGCACCAGTCACGAGACAGACGGGGTCGGGGCGGAGGGATTCCCACTGCCGGGGACGCATCCGTCACGAGACAGACGGGGTCGGCGCAGAGGGGTCCCACTGCCGGGGACGCACGGGTCACGAGACAGACGGGGGTCGAGGCGGACGGGTCCCCACTGTCGTGGACGCACGGGTCACGAGACACGTGCGTCGGCGCGGAGGGATTCCCGACGGGGTCGGCGCGGGAGGGATTCCCACTGCCAGGGACGCACCCGTCACGAGACAGACAGGGTCAGAGCGGAAGAGGGTCCCCCACAGCCGGGGACGCACCTGTCACGAGACAGACGGGGTTGGCCAGGAGGTCCCCACTGCCGGGGATGCACCGGTCACATACCGGGGTCGGCGCGGAGATGTCCTCACTGCCGGGGGACGCACGGGTCACGAGACAGGCGGGGTTGGCCAGGAGAGGTCCTCACTGCCGGGGACGCACGGGTCACGAGACAGGCGGGGTTGGCCAAGAGAGGTCCTCACTGCCGGGGACGCACGGGTCACGAGACAGGCGGGGTTGGCCAGGAGAGGTCCCCACTGCCGGGGACGCACCGGTCACAAGACAGACGGGGTCGGGGCGGAGGGGTCCCCACTGCCGGGGACGCACCGGTCACGAGACAGACGGGGTCGGCGCGGAGGGGTCCCCACTGCCGGGGACGCACCGGTCACAAGACAGACGGGGTCGGTGCGGAGAGGTCCTCCTGTTGTGGTCGCGGAATCGGGGCAGGAAGGTCGTGACCGCGCAGAGCAGCCTCCGAACCAACATAGCAAATTCTAGCTGACGCCTGGAGCGGTCACCACCACACGTATTGGCATAAGTTGATGGTGTCAGACGGAACACCGTGGTGGACGTGGACCGCATAGAGCCGCCTCCCATCAGCAACGCTCTGCCGCCATCACGCATGCGGCCCTCTCCGGAGACGTCCCGGCCCGCGCCGGCGCGCCGCCCCCACCTGAGGTTGACCAGTATGCCGCTGGTGTTCCGCTCTTGTTGGGGATGGAGCTGCCCGTGCCGAGCAGCACGGTCTGCGGGTAGACCCGGCGGCGGCGGCGGGCGGCAGGGCGGCGGACGCCTGCCGGTACTCGGCCAGCCGGGCCGAGAAGGCCTCGTCCGCCGCCAGCTCCGCACGGTACACGTCCGGCGTCACCGGCGTCACGCCCTCGCTGGCGGCGGAGAAGACGACGGGGTTCAGTGGCGCTACCCCGATAGGTGGCTGAGAGTGACACGGTGATACTACATCCTCCTACTGGGATGGCGGAGGAGGAAGAGACAATGCGAGCTCTCTGGTAGACAGCACGCATTACATCCTCCAGCCGGATCAGATGACAAAGCCTCAAGGAAAGAATACACAGAACATACTAGTCCCAGTCAATCTCACAACATCCCTGAAGCCAGAGCCCTGGTGATCTCGACGTCCGAGCCGGGCGCGGTGGCCAGACGCCTCGCCTTGTCAGAGCCGACCGATGTCTGGGCCTGGGGACTCACGTGTCGGGCTCGGCTGGCGGCCGCAGGCTCAGGCCCCAGCCGGACGGCGGGTGGATCAGCGACGACTCCTGCTCCTGCTCCTGCTCCTGCTCGTGGTCCTGGTCCTGGTCCTGCTCTGCCGTCGGGTCGTCCTCTGACGACAGCCGGACTCGCTTACAGGGCGCGCCGTCTGAAACCGGCCCGTCTGGCAGACACGCCCAACACAGCAGACCGTCTGACATGCGGCAGAACACGGCAGAGCGTCTGCCAGATGCGCCGGACACGGCAGACCGTCTAGCAGACACGCCGAACACGGCAGACCGTCTGGCAGGCGCACCGAACACGGCAGACCGTCTGGCAGGCGCACCGAACACAACAGACCGTCTGGCAGACACGGCGAACACGGCAGACCGTCTGACAGACGTGCCGAACACAGCAGATCGTCTGGAAGACAAGCCGAACACGGCAGACCGTCTGGCAGACACACCGAACACAGCAGACCGTCTGGCAGACACGCCGAACACAGCAGACCGTCTAGCAGACACGCCGAACACGGCAGACCGTTTGCCAGACGCGCCAAACATAGCAGACCGTCTGGCAGATGCGGCAGAACACAGCGGACCGTTTGGCACACGTACCGTACTACGCGTCAAAGGTAAGTGCAACACCCCGAATGAGTTGGCACTGTAACAGAGATGGTAGGGTAGAGAGGACTGTGTGTTCATCCTGCTTCATAAAATGAGAGCTAAAATTTTTCATATCAACAATGTGCTTGCAGACCGTACCGCGTTGTAAATGATGTGCCATCCAAACAATGATCGCAACGGCTGACGACGTTCAAACGAGTGCTCAACTACAGGCCAGAATTAACAAGATCATAGCGAGGATCAGGTAAATCCACCATGCAAGCAGGTCGTTCGACATCAGATGGCGAACTCGCCGCAACCAAGCCCGGTCTGCCCACGTCCGTGCTGGAGGACAGCCGCACGGGCCTCCCCGCCGCTCACCAGTAGGCTGGTCCGTGGTCGGGTCGTCGCCGGCCAGCAGCGGGAACAGCTGCGGGTCGATGGTGTGCAGTTGGTGCTGCAGCCGGTGGACGGCTTCGCTACCGTGGCCGCGGCACGTCTCGTTCAGCGCCACGTGGCGCACGGTCGCCGGCAGACCTCCCCGCCACGCCCGGTACTCGGGCGAGTCCATCACCGCCGCCGGCGAGAAGTGCACGACGGCCGCCAGCCGTGGGGCGTCCAGCGACGAGTTCAAATCGGAGAGCGAGGGGAGGAAGTCCGGCGAGGGCAGCTCCAGGACTGCAAAACAAATCAATCATTTATAGATGCATTTACATATCCCAATGACACATCTGGCGACCTGTTGCATTGCAGGCCATGTTGTCCATGAACAATTTCATCATCGTAGCTCGCAAAGATCCACAGATTCTTGACATCATTTCAGCAACTTTTCTGAGACTGCGACCAAACATGTTATAAACATAACCATCCCCAACCGAGTACCCGTGCGATGTGACCAGCCGCAGCCCCCAACGGCGCTCGTCCCAGACCGAGCCGATCAGCAGGCATGGGCGCACCCAGCCAGGGGAGGGAGGCGGCCTCACCGAGGAACTGGGCGCCGACCTCGTCCGGGGACGTGACGTCCTCCGACCGGACGACGCGGCCGTCCTCCAGCACCACGTCCCTGCCGCTCTGTGGGCAGACGGCGAAGTGAGGCCGTGACGCCGGGAGACCGTCACACGGGCACAGTAACACGGACAGTCACACGGACACCGTCTTACGGACAGTCACATGGACATCGTTATATGGACAGTCGCACGAACATCGTTATGTAAACAGTCACATGGACATAATCATATCAGCGCAGTTACACGGATGCGGAGCAGACAATACGGGTGCCGGGGAGCCATGAAGGGGGGGGGGGGCACCAGCACGCCAAGGTTAACGGGGCGTTGTCGACGGATTCGAGACGATTTCTACGGCACAGTAGGGGTACGGGCACCGGGACAGGTACGGGTACCGTGCAGGTACGGGCACGAGCATCGATCTTTTGCATTTACGTCTATGCCCCGTTCCACGACGGCCCCCCATGCACGAGAACACATCCATTCCAGCAATTCTGGGCGCTCGAAGCCGGCACCGACGGCACCGACCTTGAGTTGTCCCAGCAGCGGGCCGGGCTGCACGCCGAGGCTGACGCACTTATCCAGCAGGAGGCGGCCGGCGCGGTCCGGCACCGAGCACACGTAGGCGTACGACACAGCCCGCTCCGGCAGCGGCGGCCCTGTCAACGGCGCAGGGAACGGTCGACGTCATGACATCGTGTCAGCCGTGACGGGCGGCGCGCGAGTGCTGGTGTTTCGGTCAGTGGGTTACGCAACGTCACAGACCAGCCGCAAGCGTGGGGTTACCGAACCCCCACGCGCGGCATCCCTCCCGCGCAGGTCCCTCTCGCAGAAGCCCCTCCCGCGACATCCCTGCCGGGGAAGTTCCTTCTGCACCGTTCCTCTCGTGGAAGTCACGGACGGGCAATTGTGGGCAAGATGGAAAGCAGTGCTGTGTCAGACGTACTTGGCGAGTTAAAGTAAGTTGCCATGGAAGCCCGATGACATGACTCGTCGGCGTCATTCGCAGACCGCCACCTAACGGTTGACATGTTTAGGAAGGCACCCTGCTCAACCTCTAGCGTTCCGACGATGAACGAGACATCACGAACCTACACCGCAACCAAGTACCAGAGCCTCCGCCCGTTCCGCCCGCGCCCCACCCCACCTCCGTCCTACGCCCTCGCCCCTCCCCCCGGCGTACCGTGCTCCTCCGGCGGCGCCGGCGGCCGGCTGGGCGGCGAGGCCGGTCGGCCGCCGGCGCCGCCCGTCCTCTCGAAAGCGAAGTAGTCGACCGGCGGGGGACCGGCGGCGACGGCCGGCGGCTCGCGGCTCGCGGCGGCGCCCCACAGCGGCACAGCGCGCACCTGGCGACGGTGCGCGCGTCACGTGCGCCCGCTGGCTGGCCTGGCCTCCGGGGTCACTGAATTGGCGGTGCAGCGGCGCGCCCGATGCTCGCTGCATGGCACGCCGTCACGCTACAGCACGTGACGGCGGCCCGGCTCAGTCCCGTCACCGTCAGCCACATAGCTGTACTCTCATGGCAAACTTAGACATAGGAGCTGTCAAGAAACGTCTCTACCTGTACATAAATTGAACCTTGGAAAAGCACCAATTCCATGTCATGCTCGGTACAAGACAGAGCTTGCTACACAAACGAACTTTGAACTCATGCTTCCGTTGTTACATGCAATGGGATTCGCCAACATTTACATGCAATCGAATTTGCCTGACACCAGAGTCGACTACGGACGTTTTCAACCACACAGCCCTGTCTGCGACACTCCCCGAGTCCCCTCATCACCGCGGCTCCCGGAACGAGCTTGGCGGTGTCCCGCGGACGCTCACCGTCAGCCCGACGTCGACGAAGTCCGCGTGCGTCTCGCTGCGGTGCGACACGTTCATGCCGCGCAGCTGGATGAAGTTGCGCGTGTCGCGGTACAGCGCGTTCTGCGGACGCGGGGGGCCTGGCTGAGCGACGGCACGAGCCAGTGGCTCGGGGGCCACGGCTCGGCGAGATCCGGCGCTGCGAGTACAACGCCAACAACCGCACGCGACGTTCAGACCTAAGTGCCGTGCACAGTGCGTTTAGGGGGGGGGGGGGGGACGCCGTTGGCATCGGCAGAGCGGTGTAAGCGTGCGAAACAATGGCGGTGCGTTTGCTCTGGTATCAGTAGCAAATGGACACTGGTTGGGTGATGGAATGCAGCCTCGTCCAAATACACTGCGAATCTGCCACCTGCTTCAACGTCTGAGGAGTGGCAACCTCTAACTCAACACAAAACATGGACGATGTACGAGGCCGCCGTCACCCGACATTAAAAGACGCAGCAGATGCAGACTCCACCGTCGCCGGGCCCGGGCGGGCCAGCGGCTGGCTGACCCACCAGTCCCGGCGGCCCGTGCAGTGTCAGCACCGGCACCCCGATGTCGTTGAGGGTGAGCAGCGCGCCCAGCACGCCGCCCACATTCCGCCAGGCGTTGGTGGTGATGAACACGTTCTCCAGCCGCGCCAGCCGTGTCTTGCGCTCGTGCGACAGACGCTGCGTCCCCTCGCCGCAGTTGAACAGGTAGCTGCCGTGAAGCATGGGGTATGATCAGTGAATGGTAGGCCTTGTTGGCATCTCCACCAGCTGGTGAAAACAAAGACCACCATGTGAACATGGTGTAACTTATGGCCAAACTGTGCAGCTGCTGGCACAAACAATAACTTTCCAGTTACAAATTAGCATATATAGTGAAACATCAATGGGTCACTTGGAAAGAGTAACCTTCAGTCAGTCACTAGCCCAACAAATCTAATCAACACAAAGACAGTGTGTGTGGCTGATCTCATCAACATTGGTGTATTTATTTGATCATGAACTTGGCTGAATGCTTGTTAACAAAATGCATTCTGCCATGCATATCGCATACAATCTCAAGTAGGGTATGTGCCAGGTCACCAAATGTGACCTGGCAATGGTAGTGTGGATGGAAGGCACAGTGGATCTTGCCACTCACCTGGCACTGGTGGTGAAGACATAGAGGGATCGAGGTGCACCCTCGGCACCTGTGCCCAGCACCTGCAGCTTGACAGCACTGGGTGGACCATATGACTTCAGCTTCTTGGTTTTGGCAGTGCGAGCATCACGCCGCTCAGTCAGGTCCACAGCCTTGGGCATTGCAGCTGCGCTGTGGCGTGAAAGCAGTCTGCAGATGGCCTGTTGGCACTGCACCTGGAGCATCAGCCACTGAGGCCAGAGGTGCTCCTTCTGGTCAGGTATCCCTAGTGCCTCCCAGTGCAGTGGCTGGAGCAGTGACCTGGCAGGGCAAAGTTTGAGTCAGATCAACACTCTGTTAGGCACAGGGTGGCACACACATTAAGTTTTGGAACAAAAACTTCCAAACATGAAGATGATGCATCCAAAATGGATGTTGAAGAGGGGTGTACTTTCCTGTTCAGTTGCATGAGGCACCAAACCCCTCCCCAACTCGGGCTCCAATCCTTACCTTCTGCAAAGTGGGCCATAACTGGCAAAATACATTTCTGATAGCAGATGGATGGTAGATTTTAGGTGGAATATTTATGATATTTCCTGATACAGCCTCCCCAAGCTCATCTTGCAAAACATTGTCCCTGATGTAGAACATGATGTACAACTTTTGAGTCACCATCTTTTGAGGATAATCTGGAATCTGGGACATTTGAACATCTTGCTGATGGCACAAGCTAATTCAGGGGTTTTCAACAGCAACATTCATCAATGTAGTCAGACACACATGAAATGCAAAGGCATGCAATATTCCCCCATCAGCAAATGCTGCTTTAATGGTTACCTAGCATGCCTTTAAACCTTTCATTGACAGCCTTGGTTTATAACTCCATTAATGCAACAAAGGAGACCAGTAAGATGCGATGATGTGAGAAGCACACCATATTAACTTAACACAAAATACCAGCACGGCCAAAATGAACATTCCAGGGCAGAGGGCATATCATCGTGCAATGCCACACCACGAAAGCCTTTTCTGACACTCAGAAAGTTCACATTGTAGACTTTCTGAGTCACATTTTAATTTTCTGCCTCATTTGCTATACCTTAAATGAAACACAAACTCCTTGCAACACCACTCCGCCACGCAACCGGCGGACGCAAGACTGCACGAGGCTCTCTGCCTTCTCGGCAGGCGCCTCGGATTGCCACACAAATCGCAAAAGCATGATGAAATGAGCACACAGCTTTCCTAGCTAACACCCGTACAAAATCATGCTCGTAAAACCACGAAAGGCTAATGTTTGTGTTCAGATATGGCGCCTTTGTTTCATTAGAGAAGCCGAAAACTCACGTCTGTCAAGCTAGCAGCAGATTGATATCCAATTGCCAGTTGGATATTGCGGGGCGTCTCGATTGCCGCCAAATTTGGTGTGCAGGGCCTTCTCAACACGCTGATTCCGAAAATCAACGTCTTTGGGGTGGAATTTTGCGTAATTTTTGAGTTATACGCTGCGTAACATCCCAATGTGATATTGCGGGGCGTCTCGATTGCCTCCAAATTTGGTGTGCAGGGTCTTCTCAACACGCTGATTCCGAAAATCAATGTCTTTGGGGTGGAATTTTGCGTAATTTTTGAGTTATACGCTGCGTAACATCCCAATGTGATATTGCGGGGCGTCTCGATTGCCTCCAAATTTGGTGTGCAGGGCCTTCTCAACACGCTGATTCCGAAAATCAATGTCTTTGGGGTGGAATTTTGCGTAATTTTCGAGTTATACGCTGCGTAACATCCCAATGTGATATTGCGGGGCGTCTCGATTGCCTCCAAATTTGGTGTGCCGGGCCTTCTCAACACGCTGATTCCGAAAATCATTGTCTTTGGGGTGGAATTTTGCGTAATTTTTGAGTTATACGCTGCGTAACATCCCAATGTGATATTGCGGGGCGTCTCGATTGCCTCCAAATTTGGTGTGCAGGGCCTTCTCAACACGCCGATTCCGAAAATCATTGTCTTTGGGGTGGAATTTTGCGTAATTTTTGAGTTATACGCTGCGTAACATCCCAATGTGATATTGCGGGGCGTCTCGATTGCCTCCAAATTTGGTGTGCAGGGCTTTCTCAACACGCTGATTCCGAAAATCAATCTCTTTGGGGTGGAATTTTGCGTAATTTTTGAGTTATACGCTGCGTAACATCCCAATGTGATGCTGCGGGGCGTCTCGATTGTCTCCAAATTTGGTGTCCAGGGCCTTCTCAACACGCTGATTCCGAAAATCAACGTCTTTGGGGTGGAATTTTGCGTAATTTTCGAGTTATACGCTGCGTAACATCCCAATGTGATATTGCGGGGCGTCTCGATTGCCTCCAAATTTGGTGTCCAGGGCCTTCTCAACACGCTGATTCCGAAAATCAATGTCTTTGGGGTGGAATTTTGCGTAATTTTCGAGTTATACGCTGCGTAACATCCCAATGTGATATTGCGGGGCGTCTCGATTGCCGCCAAATTTGGTGTGCAGGGCCTTCTCAACACGCTGATTCCGAAAATCAATGTCTTTGGGGTGGAATTTTGCGTAATTTTTGAGTTATACGCTGCGTAACATCCCAATGTGATATTGCGGGGCGTCTCGATTGCCGCCAAATTTGGTGTGCAGGGCCTTCTCAACACGCTGATTCCGAAAATCAATGTCTTTTGGGGTGGAATTTTGCGTAATTTTTGAGTTATACGCTGCGTAACATCCCAATGTGATATTGCGGGGCGTCTCGATTGCCGCCAAATTTGGTGTGCAGGGCCTTCTCAACACGCTGATTCCGAAAATCAATGTCTTTGGGGTGGAATTTTGCGTAATTTTTGAGTTATACGCTGCGTAACATCCCAATGTGATATTGCGGGGCGTCTCGATTGCCGCCAAATTTGGTGTGCAGGGCCTTCTCAACACGCTGATTCCGAAAATCATTGTCTTTGGGGTGGAATTTTGCGTAATTTTTGAGTTATACGCTGCGTAACATCCCAATGTGATATTGCGGGGCGTCTCGATTGCCTCCAAATTTGGTGTGCAGGGCCTTCTCAACACGCTGATTCCGAAAATCAACGTCTTTGGGGTGGAATTTTGCGTAATTTTTGAGTTATACGCTGCGTAACATCCCAATGTGATATTGCGGGGCGTCTCGATTGCCTCCAAATTGGGTGTGCAGGGCCTTCTCAACACGCTGATTCCGAAAATCAATGTCTTTGGGGTGGAATTTTGCGTAATTTTTGAGTTATACGCTGCGTAACATCCCAATGTGATATTGCGGGGCCACTCGATTGCCTCCAAATTTGGTGTGCAGGGCCTTCTCAACACGCTGATTCCGAAAATCAATGTCTTTGGGGTGGAATTTTGCGTAATTTTTGAGTTATACGCTGCGTAACATCCCAATGTGATATTGCGGGGCGTCTCGATTGCCTCCAAATTTGGTGTGCAGGGCCTTCTCAACACGCTGATTCCGAAAATCAATGTCTTTGGGGTGGAATTTTGCGTAATTTTCGAGTTATACGCTGCGTAACATCCCAATGTGATATTGCGGGGCGTCTCGATTGCCTCCAAATTTGGTGCGCCGGGCCTTCTCAACACGCTGATTCCGAAAATCAATGTCTTTGGGGTGGAATTTTGCGTAATTTTCGAGTTATACGCTGCGTAACATCCCAATGTGATATTGCGGGGCGTCTCGATTGCCGCCAAATTTGGTGTGCAGGGCCTTCTCAACACGCTGATTCCGAAAATCACTGCCTTTGGGGTGGAATTTTGCGTAATTTTTGAGTTATACGCTGCGTAACATCCCAATGTGATATTGCGGGGCGTCTCGATTGCCTCCAAATTTGGTGTGCAGGGCCTTCTCAACACGCTGATTCCGAAAATCAATGTCTTTGGGGTGGAATTTTGCGTAATTTTTGAGTTATACGCTGCGTAACATCCCAATGTGATATTGCGGGGCGTCTCGATTGCCTCCAAATTTGGTGTGCAGGGCCTTCTCAACACGCTGATTCCGAAAATCAACGTCTTTGGGGTGGAATTTTGCGTAATTTTTGAGATATACGCTGCGTAACATCCCAATGTGATATTGCGGGGCGTCTCGATTGCCTCCAAATTTGGTGTGCAGGGCCTTCTCAACACGCTGATTTCGGAAATCACTGCCTTTATATATCGCGTAGCACGTCGTTATACGTCGCGTAACACAACAGTTTGATATTGCGGAGATAGAGGTATTCTTAATGAAGTTTGTCAGGCTCTGAAATTTAGTGAAGGTGACAGACATGGTCTGCAAGTTCGCGAAAGCCAGATGGGTTACTTGTAACCCTCAGATGGTCATGGGTAAATGTGTCGGTCTTTTTCACTGGGCGCCCAGCAGTAAAACTCAATTGTTTTCATGTATTGTCCCAATTTATGTGCATCTTTACAGTGCCCTTTATGGCGGTTTCCCATTGTCATATAACTTGTTGCAGCTTCACCACACGTGCCATGACTTGCCCGGTCTCGTGCTCGACTCCTGCGGGAGTCGTAGTCGTCTCCGAAATCAGCCAGACTTCTGTCGAGTCTAGGTAAAATCAGTTCCTTTTAAAATAGATGCGAGTTGGATCGGGAGTTGAGCCAACGTGATCTGTCTGACTCATTGATGAGTGCACTCCGGTAAAAAGGTAGGTAACAGCTGTTGCTCTGTCGTGCGCTGAAGCTCGTGCACATCGCGCTCGTGATTGTGGATGTGCAGCAAAGGGAGCGCAGGATGCATTATAAGCTCTCATGTTAAAAATATCCGACCCTAAACACACCAAGAGGTTATAGCTGAACAAATAAATCAGGCTATCAATGAGATATGTTAATTCAATGACCGTTGTTCCAGACAAGTGGAAGTGACATGTCAACAAGCTTTAGCACAAATGGTGTGCTTTGGTTTATGAGCACCCCTTGTAAGTTGGGTTCAAGCCGCTTTAAGCGCTCGCCTTTTGCACCTGGCCACGCTGGCTGGTGGCTGATGGCAGTGGCTGCGCTGAAGGTCAGGCCTGGCATTCCTTGCTCGGTTGATGGGGCCAGGGCCCACCCTGTCAGTCGAATTGTATCAACTTTAAGTCAGAGGAGTCATTTCAAAACTGGAACGTGCTGCTCAGAGTCAAGGTGGGAATCGCTCACCTCACTTACTAAGTGTCAAATCGCCAGGTGTATTCGCTGGAGTATGTTCACGACGCGCGTGGAGTTCTGCATCCCACCGTCAACGAGATTCCCTTCACCTACCTGCCGGAGGGCTTTGAGATCATCTCTATCGATGCATTCAACAAGAGCGAGAACAGAGAGGAAATGGTGGTGGGATTTGCCATCATCAAGGTGAGCGAGGCGTGGTGGGGCACGGCGAATGCCTTTAAGCCGGTATGGGCTACGATGCTCGTGTTATGATGTTGATGATAGGGGCACGTGTGAGACGGGCGTGGGTGGCTGGGGTGGTGCCTGCCCTTCATGTCAGGGTGAGAGGCAAGCGACGCCATGCTGTACCCTCAACAGCTGACGGCGTGGCGAAGCCCTAATGGAAAAATAAACGGAACGACAGTTTTAATACACGTTATGGTCAATTGTATACAAGCCAACATATAGCGAGTAGATAAGATCGTCGCGTCGCACCGTTGTGCGAGTCATGCAGACGTTGCTCTGAACGCTCTGATTCACGCTGCTGAATGCAGCACACGGTACCGGTATTGCCCGAGGGAGAGGGCAGGGCCGACCCGCGGCTGTCAGGCCGGTGTGCGGTGCTGAGCGGTGACCGACCCCGGCTGTCGTGACGGCGTGAGGCGCTGGGCGGGGCCGACCTCCGTCTGTTGTGCCGGTGTGATGTGCTGAACGAGGTTTCCGACCGCTCCGATTGGTTGTCAGGGGATAGAGCAGTCGGTCAGGTGGCAGTCACCAGGTCACGTCCGCTGTCGGACGCCGATCGGCCGCTAACTGGACCTGACCTGACCTGACCTGACCTCACCTCACTCCGCCCCCTGCCAGGACGTAGACCGCGGCGACGGCAAGACGTCACAGTACCTGAACATCTACAGCGACTGGGAGCCGGAGTTTGGCGCCAGCCCGCTGGAGACGCTGGCGCAGAACTGGCGCCACGTGGAGCTTCCGTTCATCCCGTACCAGCTGC